AAGGTCATGCTGCATCTTGGGACCCACCATGGTGAAGCCAAGGCAGCAGAGAACACCTCACAAGTGGTGGGTTCCCATCTGTCCTTCCAGCAAACTGCCTGATTGCATGCAGAGCTGTCCTTGCCCTGGCTCACACTTTGACCGTGTCACCTCTCCTGAAGAAAAGGAATAACCGTAAAGAACCCACACCAATTTTTTGAGGATGAAATGAGATGATTTTTATGGGAGGCCCCTTCCATGGTGCCTGGCACATGGTGAGTAATCCAAGTGGTGTCTCTGTCACAACTGCATCTTCTGACCACCTGCTGCTGAGTCCTGGCCACGTCCCTCAGCTCTACTGTATCTCATATCTTCCCTTAACCACCACCATCTCATCCTCGGGACCAGAACCTTGTCAGCTGCTCTATCAGAAAATGGGACCTCTGTGATCCAACCCCATACCTGGCCCGTGCCTGGAGCTCAGCCTGGCTCAAGCTAAGCACCCTCAAGAAACAAGCAGGTCCTTCTTAATGAGCTCTTTGAGGGAAATCATTTTCCTCTCTTCTCCCTGCCTCGCTTGCCTGCTTTTCATCAGCCCACAGTAGAAGGGCTGCCTGTTCTTCCTTAGATGTCCTCTGGTCCATGGCAGCTGGAGCCTTGATGCAAAGGCTAAAGTCACTCATGGACTCCCTGGATCCTTACTCCTGAGCAAAGGGGCTGCCTTCCAGGAGTAAAGAAGCTGTGAGTCATTCTACAACATAAGTCAAAATAGCAACTGGAATTAGGAGGATTATTTCACCCTTGAAGAACCTAAGGCTCCAGGAGTTTAAGCGGATTGCTCAGGCCCCACACATCTGGTTGGATCGTTCATTTATTCATGCAAGGGGAAGAAATGTGGAATGAAAAACAGATAAGATCTTGCCTGTTGGAGCTTAAAGTCTAGTCCAGGGCTCAGTGGACTCTTCTATACAGGGCCAGAGAGTAAATATCTTCGACTGTGTGGGCCACAGTGTCACTGTCACACTGCTGAGTTCTGCCATTGGAGTGAATCACAGCTGCAGACAATACAGAAAGGGTGGTTTGGCTGTGTTGCGATAAAGTTTTATTTACAAAAACAGATGATGGGCCAGATTTGGCTTTCAGACTTGACTTTACCCACTTCTGAGCTGATGGAAAAGGGACTCATCAATGGAGTAAGTGCATGATGAAATGTAAAATTAACGATTCAAAGGAGAGCCATGTGACTCTGGGAACATGAAACAGGAGGACCTGGGAGTCAGGAGAGGTGCTCGTGAAGTGTGTGATTTTACATGAGATCTAAGGGGGAGGAGTCATTCACCAGGTGAAGGGGAGAATGGGGAAGGAAAAAAGTGTCTAAACTGACAAAATAGCTGGCGCAACAGCCCTGTGGCAAAAGGGACCAGGGCTTGCTTTGGACACCGAAGGAAAGCCTGGAATGCAAGATGGTAAAGCAGGAGAGGCCGGCTCATGCTGTGAGCTGCTGGGAGACCACTGGGTAAGAATGTGGTCTTAATCCTGAAAACTATAGAAAACCATTGCTCTTTTGATTCTAAGGGGCGATGTGACTGCATTCTCATCAGGAGGTGCTCACTCTGGATTCTGGCTGGGGATCCCACTGAGAGTGACCAGAAGAGACTAGGGTGGCCACCGGGGGCTTTGTTGCAGCCAGAGCCCCATCCCTGGAGCCCAGGGCCGATGTCAGCTCAGCGCTCTTTCCCCCACTGCCTCCCTATTTTACGCTTGCTCTTCTAACATGGCTTCCTCTTTCTCCACTTCCAGATGGCGATTCACGTTGTGGTATGTATTTTATAGTCCCAGCTCCATCCCATTCAATTTTTCTCACCTTCCTTCTTTCTTTCCCCAGCCTGATCCCCCACTAACTTTGTAAAACTTGCAAGTTAAATTTTTCAAAGACTGTTTCTGACAAAGCAGTGGGAATTAGATTTGGCGAAGCCCTTCATAAAAAATTGAAGACGCGCTATATTAACATACATTGATTTATTCATAGTGTTTCATTACAAGTAAGTGAGGATCCTGTAATACCAGGAAAGGTTAGGAGAGCAGGGGAACACGGTATATTATACTGACAGCTCGGTGGAAATTGAGTTGCTTTTGGATTGAATTTGGAGCGCAGAAAAGGAATTGGCTAGTAAATAAGGCATGAGTTTTACCACCCAGTGTCTGTATATCAATGCAGTTGCCACCAGCCAAGGCAGAGGACAGAGGCGGAATTTCAAAAGGATGCATTTCACTGGTGGCCTGGGCTTAGCAGCCACAGACAGAGCTCTCCGAACATCTCCCTTCTTCTGCCGCTGGGAAAACCTGGAATCCTGCTGCACAGCTGTCCTGTTTGCTCACCACTCTCCAGTCAATACGCTCAGGAGAACTCCCATCCCAGGTCTTCGCCCGGTTAGTTCCCTCTGCCTAGAACCTGGACTGCTCCTTCCTCTGCTCGGACCCCGTATCATTCTTAGATATCAGTTCAGTTCTCCCCTGAGATACCTCCCTGAGCACATTGTCTTATTTTGGCCTTTCTCAGATGCAAAGTCTGAGACAAGGATTCGAATACAGGCAGCTCACTGAGAAGTATGGGAAACACTAGGGAGTGGAGACGAGAAAGGAAGGTAGCCAGCGATGGGTGTGTTTTCCAGCCAGCTGACTCTAGAGGTGAGTGGAGTGGCGTCCCTCAGAGAAATCCCCTGGGATGCTGCAGGGCTATCCTGAGAGAGGAGCCTGGGGAATGGATATTTCAACTGCCATCAGTCCAGTCTCTGGGGGTGAGAATTACCAGCGCTTCCTGTGAGCACCCTTGGAAAAAGCCCTCAAAGAGAGGCAGTTGTTTGCAGCGCTCACCTCTGAGCAGGGTGGGAGCAGGCGGGGTGACCAGAGGGACCGCTGTGCCCAGGCCCCCAGGGACCTGCGGGGTGGGGGACCCCGCCAGCTCTGCTTGCAAAGCGCCCAGATTCTTCACTTCTGCACATTCTCCTCCTGGGCTCGCTGTGTTCCAGGCAAAGTTGAGCCTCTCTCCTTGACTTGTGGCTTCAATTGCTGTATTGCTCCTGCTTCCTACAGGAGAGACAAGTTACATCTTCCTCCAGAATGTTTGGTGCCCTAGCTGGAAACAGCAAACTGCTTATTTTTGAAGTGAAGTTGGTGTGTGTTCCCTTTTCTGCCTGGGTTTGGCCTTCCTGTCAATCATGGGGCGTGCTTGACAGAAGATAAAGTGATGCAAGGTGCTGGGGTAATTGACTTACCTCGTTCTAGAGCAGAAGACCATTGAGGACAGGGCCTCACTTGTGTTCTTTTGCTCGGACCTGGTTACACTCCGTGCAGGTCTGAGAACACAGGAGTATGTGGGACATGTTGGCGAAGGAGCAAAGAAAGGAGTGAATGCATGAATGTGTTTCTCAGTTAATGAGCTGTGTCTTCAGGCCATGCAGGGTGGTTTGGAGTAAAGAACTCAGATTTCAGAGCCCAGCACATCTGGGTTTAGTCTCACATCAGTGATAGAACAGCGAACAACCGTGAGAACGCGTGGTCTGCTGCTGCACGTGGTAGATGCGTGAATCTCACAAACATAACGTTGAGTGAGAGAAGCCGGCAGTGAAGCGTGCACCCTGGATGACTCCACTTATGCAAAGTTCAAACCAGGCAAAGCTTGTCTGTGCTGTTAGAAGTCAGGATAGAGGGTATCCTTGCAGGGGGAGGCGGGAAAGGATTGGACGGGGGCGTGAGAGGGAAATCTTGGGTCTGGTAATGCTGTGTCTCTTGATCGGGTGCTGGTTATATGGCTATGTCCTTAGTAAAAATTCATCCAGCAGTATAGTTTTCTGTATGTACATTATGCTCTAATAAAACACTTTTAATAGAACAAACTAGATAAAACAAGTAAACAAAAAATCCTGAGTTTGCCTCTTCAACAACTGTATAGCTTAGAAATAGGTACTCAGAGCGTGGTCCATGGGGACCAGTGCCAGGGTGCCAGCTCTCTTGTTACTTTCACAGCAGGGCAAGTGCAGGCGTTAAGAGTGAGCACCCAAGAAACTTTTTAGTGCCTTGGCATTGCTATGACACCCACATGTGATCAGTGGATGTACCTCCTTGCACGTCATGCAGGGCAGTTTGTTCATTGCCAGACTCCCATGAGGGGTCACGGGCGATGTGGTCTTTGGAACGTTGTGGGTCTGCAGCGGACTGAGAAATGGAAAACTGGTTCTCACCATACATATTTTGAAAAGCACTGATTTAATGCAAATTGTTGAGCCCCAGTTTCTCCATTATTAAAATGAGAATAAATATTCTTTTTGGTGTTTTTTGTGGGGGTAAGAGAATAAATATTCTGATGTCCTCAAGGTTTGGGGAAAGGCAAGATAACGTACAAGAAAGCACCAGACCAGCACCGTGTGGAGTGGGGGACACGTGGGCTGCATTTGTAACCAGCCTTCGAGATAATTCTTATCAGGATGCTATACTTGGACACTGCCCTGCAGCCTCATGATCAGTGCAGTGGCCACTAGCCACACAGGGTTAATGTGCTATTGAAATGCGGCTAGTCCGAATGGTGATGCACCATAAGGGTAAAATACATACTCGATTTCTAAGACCTAATATGAATAATAGAGTATAAAATATCTCATTACATTTTTTATGTTGATTGCAGGTTGAAATGATAATATTTTGCATATATGGGCTCAACAAAAGATACTATTAAAATTAATTTTACTTTATGTTCTTACTTTTTTGTCCTTTTAATGTGACTACTAGGAAATTGAAATTTGTGTGTGTGGCTTAAATTATATTTTTGTTGGGCTGCAGTGCTCCTGAGCATCAGCTGTGGAGAGTTTGGAGGCTGGGACCATCTGTAAGGCGAGCGGTAACAGCCGAGCTTGCTGACCGAGCTCACATGCCTTCTCCTTTCCTTCCCTGATCTTCCTCCAGATGAGCTCCCCGCCTGCTTCCTGGGTGAGGCACTGATGTGTTTGTTTGCTGGCTTCTTGTAGATCAACTACAAGGCCGTTGGCTCACTGGACCCGAGTGCCGACCTCTCCAGCCAGAGGGGGAAAGTGTTCAAGCTGCGGAATGAAACCCACCACCTCTTCGTGGGTCTGTACCCCGGGACCACCTACTCCTTCACCATCAAGGCCAGCACAGCCAAGGGCTTTGGGCCCCCTGTCACCACCAGAATCGCCACCAAAATTTCAGGTATCTGTCTCAGAAAGGGGAAAGGGAGAAAGTTGGTGGTGTTGGTGGGTTTTTTCATTCCTGATGTTTGTGGGAGTGAAAGAGGGCAGAGTCAACTGTCACCGTGTGGTTTTGGAGCAAGGAAGATGCTGAGGTCCCTAGTGGGTCCCTGTTGTCTCATGAAGAAAACCTCATCCATGAACTTCCTAAAGTACAAAAAAATATGTCAATTAGACTAGACCAGAGGGAATGCCGAGTGATTCGCCAGATAATTTGCCTACCACACAGTGGCATTAAATAGTACATTTCCCCATACAAATCAGTTTGTAAAAATGTGATTTATTTTCAGGAGTATTCCTTTTGGCAGTGCAGGACACAGCGCAGGTTCTCATGAAATGTCTGATGAATGAAGAACAAATGAGTGAATGGCTGTTACAGGGCCATCGCGGTCCAAGATGTCACCTGCCATCAGCAGTAGGGCCCCCTCCCCCACCACCGACAGCATCAAAGCAGAATTTCATAATGTACATTTTTTCAAAATACCCTTGCCATTCTGGTCTGCATCCATACATGTTTTGCATAGATACAGACCCATGGTGATTTTTGCAGCTTACTGTTTCCCTGTATCCTTAAACCATAAGCATCTTCCATGTTTTGCCACGTTGCTTTCATTATAATGCTCTGTCAAGTGGATGGACATAATTTAATTAAACATTCCCCAGTGGTTGGATATATTTGGTGCTTCTGTGTTTTTATAAAATAACGCTTCAATAAACATGTTACAGAATGAAGTTTAATTTGTCGACTTAAAATTCCAGGAATTGAAATACTGAATTAAAAGGGATGTGGGTTTAACAGTTCTTAATACAAATGGCTAAATTACCTTCCTAAGGAATCGGATTTAGTCGCACTCCTATCAGAAGGGAGGGTCTCATGGAAAAAAAAAAGATACGAGGAACTAGTTCATCACTGCTGTAATTTCCATTTTTAATGTGTTTAAGATTGACTCTGCATTCGCCTCTTTAAGGACTTGTATTTCCTGCATGTATCTGTGTATTTGATATGGAACTTTTCGACTCATGAGCGTTACTGGCTACATCATTGCTACCCTTGCCCAGACTCTTCTGTACCTTGAAGGGAGGTTGGAACCTACAGACAGGTTGGAAGTCAGGTCCTGTTTTGCGGAAAGTCTGGGATAACATGTGACTCTCATCCACCCCTTTCTCAGTCATGTCTCTTCTAGGCATCTAGGTGTCTTTACAGGTAGCGTCTAGGGGAGGGGGTGAGCGGGGTCTGGGACCTGTGCTAAGCTCCCTCCTCTCTCTGTTCTCTGTCCAGCGCCTTCAATGCCTGAATATGACACAGACACCCCGCTGAATGAGACAGACACGACCATCACGGTGATGCTGAAACCTGCCCAGTCTCGGGGAGCCCCCGTCAGGTGAGGAGGGTCTCAACCCGGACTTTGCTGTTTTCCTTCTCTGCACATGCGTGTCTCCCACTGAGTCACGTCACTGGCAAGGTCTGTGGGCAAGACTTCTGGAGGAAAAGGATCAGCAGCCCCAAGACCAGTTCAGAGGGGCCACTGAGCCAAGAGCCCTCCCTCCCTACCATGGGACCCCGGGACTGGTTGGGGAGGGAACATGGTGATGGGGACCTGAAGAGGGCTGAGAGAGACCTTTCTGAAACACACCTATAATAAATTTACTTAGTGGAGTTGGGGGACAGAAACCCAGTATCCTGGCAAGATCACCTCTCCATGCCTGACTGCCATTAACAGACAGGTGGACAGATTCACTGAGTTCTGAAAACAGCCTGCTAGAGATTATGAAGGGGTTATGACCTCAGTTTATGGTCCAGTTTATGGCCTTGGTGTCCCACAGGAGACCTGAAGTTAGTCATACTGCTGATTTTCATAAGAGACTGCTGGAGTCCAGGAGTGTATTTATGGCCCAGGCAGGGAATGCTTCTCAGTGGCTCACCTAACCCCGTGCAAGTCCACGGGCTCTTGGAGATCAGGAAGGCGGGCATCTCTTTTAAACAGGCTACACTTTGCACGAGGGCAGTAGCTCCTATGTTGACAGCTGGCTTTTGCTCAGAGCTCAAGCAACTATAGGCCCTGGAAACCAAGCAGAGTGGTGGGTGGAACAGTTTTCAAACTGGCTCAGTTCAGTTCAACAAACACGCATGGAGTATCTTCCGTGTCAGGAATGGAGCAGGGCACAGGGGATGAAAATGATTTATTTATTCATTCCCTCAACAAACATTTATTGAGCACGGAGTCAGGCTCCGTTTAAGTGTCTGGAACACACTAGTGAACTAGCTGGGAATAACTCACACTCTAAATTTAAAGTCCAGTTCTAGCTGGGAGGACAGAGAATTGAAAACATAGTCCCAATACGGTGCATGCTTACAGAGATGTGCGTAGGCCAGTATGAGAGCTCCAAGGAGAGAGTTCGCAGAGGAGGTGACCTTGAGCTGTATCTCTTATATGTTATAACATATATGAGATTTCACCAGAGTGGTAAGAGGGCCTGGCCCGGGCAAAGGCATGGAGGAAAGAGGCAGCTGGCTGTCTTGAGGAGCAACCAGGAGTGGTTACATTTGCTTTTGCATAAAGGTCAAGGCAGGAGTGGTGGGTTGAGAGTGACAGTCACGTTTGAGAGGCTCAGCCTTGCCTGAGGGGCCACAGGGAGCCCCTGAATAGCCACATGTAGTGTCTCTTTTATGATCCTACAAGCTGGGAGACCAACCAGGAAGGAGGAGGCTATCAAGATGGTCTCGTCACCTATTTTCCAAAGTGGGTCTGACTCTACCCAGAAATTATAGGCAGTGGAGCAGATGGAATCACCTGCTAGCAATTTGGCTTTTCCCATCTATTCTGTAGATTCTGAACAATGTTCTATCCTAAGTCAGGTGGGTCTTCAGGCCTTCAGACAGGTGTGTGTAGTGTGTGTGGGCACCTGAACCAAGAACTTTTGCCATATATTCTACACATAGGTTGTTCCAGGACTGTCCTACCTGTGGTGATGGTGGCTCTTATGTCAAATAGAGTCATTGAGTTACTGTGTTTCTTCCTGTTACTCTTACGCAACATTGTCATTGACTTCTCTTTATGCAGTGAGACATTATTATCCTCACTTTCAGATGAACAGACTGAGGCTTAGAAGTGCTCGAGGGCACACAGACAGGAGGAAAGCTGAGTCTGAATGCAGGTCTTCCAGGTGCCTGAACACATGTTCTGTCTTGGCCACCGATGTCTTCCTCCCCTTCACAGCTCTTACCTCCTTCAAACAGCAGCACCGGGCGTGTGTCAGTGTTTTAGGAAGCTTCCCAGGTGGCAAAATCTGGCCCACGAAAGAGAAGCCTAATGAACACTGCCCAAATTAGCAGCTGACCCAGGATCCTAGGCCAGCTCTGCCCTAAAGCCCATGACCTTTAGGTCATAGATCCAGGTGTCACTTCTCAGGCCTGAAGAGCTGTCAGAAAAGGGACCCGATCAGCAGCATCCTGCTGTATGGCTTCCTGGTGAATGTGGCTTCAGTCTGGTTCCCCCCAGTCTCCTGGCCACTGTGTGACACAGTAGAAAGGATGTGAGTTCAGTGGCAGTGAATGTGGTTCAGATCCTACTCTGAAGCTGCCGTGTGACCTTGGGCAAGATACTAAATCTCTCTGAACCTCAGGTTCCCTTCTGGAATGCATATACAGGAGCTATTTCCCCAAAGGGGAGGAAGGTGTAGACATGAGGCAGAGCAAGGCTGGCCATCAGGGAGTTAGTGCCTTCATCAGCTCTGCTTCTTCTCTGTGGAACCTGGGCAGCTCTATTAAAAACAGATTTTGAAAATCTGCTCCATGCCAGGGTCACAGTGTTGCCCGATCCTTCCTGTTCAAATTTCCAAAGCCATTCAAGACTCTGATTTCATGGTGGGGAAAGAAGGGCTTTGCTTTTTCCTTAAGAGCCCCTAACTTCTTTTCAGCACAAAGCTTTAGAAAAGCTTTTTTTCTGAATTGTACTGTAAGTAATCTGGGTCCTATCCAGTGCCAGGAATAAAGTTAATTCTCACACAGATGATCAGGGACCCCTCCTCAGGATGAATCAGGTCTGTAAACCCCTGAAAACTCATCAAAGTCAGCTGAACCCAAATGCGAGGCATCATCACCATGTTTAATTGGGCAGCTACTATCATCCAAGATCCCTGTTCGAAATGGGGAAACTAAAGTTCAAGGTCACAAATATGAAAGTGAATAAATGTATGTATATGCATGACTGGGATATTGTGCTGTACACCAGAGATAGACACATTGTTATTGACTGTACTTCAATAAAAAAAATTAAGTTCAAGGGCACAAATTCAGTAAGTGATGAAGCCAGGACTCATACCCAGGACTGACTGACTCCAGAGACCAGAGAGCAGAGACCAAGCGGTCTTCTGAGCAGCCCAAACCAGTGTTTGCCCACCTGTTTAAGAAGCTCATACATCCTAAGACCATAGTAAATTAGGAGATGGGAATGGAAATGCCCCTGTAGCAGTAAGAAATGACAGCTGGCAGGGCGTGAAAAACAGTACAGCTCTACAAAACTGACACCAGTACTCAAGAAATGAGGTAGTCCACATGCTTCAGCCCCTCACGGCCACGGGCATTCATTTGTTTTTCCTGGTTCACCCAAAAAATGTATCATTAGGTCCATGTCTTCAAGTGAAAAGAGCCTGCTAGCTTGCATTTAATGAGCCTGTACCTGCTGTGTGCCTGTCGCTCTACAAAACTATCTGCATCCTCACAGTGTTGCAGATAAGACTCTCCCATTGTGCAGATATGGAAACTGAGATGCACAGAAGCTAAGTGAATTGACCCAAGCCATGACACGAGCAAGTGGTGCAGGCAGAATTTAAACCCAGTTCAGCTGACCCTAAGCCAACACTCACTTCACTCTAACCACACCACCTCCCTAGGAGAAAGTCATACGTGATGTATTTTGCTGACATTTCCATCAGAAAAAAAAAATTTAAAAGAAAGTGTCACCACTTGAAGGGGCAGTGCCTGGTGTCTGGAAAAGCCTGGCTGCTTTTCTTCTCAAAGCTCTGGATCACGAAGAGTGTGTATATAGTCAGTTTCTGGAATTATTTTCAGACTGTTGGCTTGGACATTTGCCAAGAAGGGAAGAGGCTAATCAGTGCTGCCCAGCAAGACTATCAGGACAAGTGTGATGACAACAGGGTAGGATCACAGTAGATTTCAGTTACCTTAACCCTTTTCCACCTTGAACTCTGGGCACTAGACGGCCCCTAGGGGAGGCAGTTGACCATTTAAGTCATTTTTAATGAGCGCTTGCTATGTGCCAGGGGCTGAGTGAAGCAGTGAGGATATAGCAGGAAACAAGATAGACATGCACGCCTGTTTTCTTGAGGCTTATCAGCCAGTAAGTGTGCATGTGAATAGGGCAGGGAGGTGAGGCATTAAGCAGTTAAGAAACAAAATAATGAAACTGGCAAAACAAGATAATACGAAGCCAGTAGGATCAGCAACTGTACTGACGGAGAGAAGGAGTAGACAGGCTGGAGAGATGAGCACAGCCCAGGCAAGAGGACCGACGTGGAATCCTGTAGGTCAGGGGAGCGGGAGCCTTGAGAAAACAGCAGAGTCACCCTGTGACGGCAGGACTCAGAGAACTCACCGGGTGCACTGGGTCAACGGTGCCGGGAATCGTGTTGTACAGTTGATAGTTTCTTGCTTTTCACTGTAGCATCATACCCAGTGAGTAAGCAAGGCGGGAAACACCATCTCCACTTCCAGGAGGAGAAGCTGAAGTCTAAGACGTGACGTGATTGGCCCGAGGTCACAGAGCTCATTACACACAGAGCCAGTGCATGGACCTAGCTTTCTGCCTCTGAGTTCATGGCTCCCCCAGGAAGTTCCGACTTCTCTGTGCCTGGGATGTCAAGTGATGTCTGGGTGACCTTTTGGTGGGAGTGCCGTGGTGTGAACCTCCATCAGCTAGGGAGTGAGGGGGTAGACCAGACACTTCTGGGTTGTGTGGGCCCAGCCTATAATTTGTCAACCCCAGTGCGTCTCTCTCTCTCTCGGTGGAGAGTCTTCCTGTTCTTAAACGGACTCACACCTAAGCCTCAGCCCCAAGGCCACGCCCAGATTGGCTGTTCTTCTTCTGCCGATAATGCTTTGGCCCTGGTTGAGCCCCCTCCAGCCCCTGCTCGGCTACTTGCTGCCCCTTTGAAGCCCCACGGCTCTGGCTCTGCCTGGTGGACCTGAGCATGCAGGGAGGGAGGAGGAGAGGAAGAAGGATTGCGGCGCAGGACTCCCGCGCCCTCATCCCTCCATCCCTCCAGCCAAACCACCTTGGCAGCTCGACCTATTTTTCTAATGCTCCACAATGGAGATTTATTGCTTTTGTGTTGCTTTCCCTAGGCCTTCAAAGATTTATTG